TACATGCATTCATATAGACAAATATACATGAATACATACATACATACACACATGCATACATACATACATAGACACAAACATGCAGACACGAGCGTGCGGGCAGATATACATACATATAAAAACATTGATAAACATATATACATATACAGACAGACATACACACATACATACATATATATGAAGAAATACATACAACATACATGCACACACACACATACATACTATATACACGAGTGCGCACACACACACATGTACACACGCACACACACACACACGCGCACACGCGCACACACACACACACAAACATACACACACACGCAAACACACACACCAACACACATACACAAACATACAGACAAACACACACACACACACACACACAGAGACACATACAGACATGCACACAAAGATAGAGACAAGCACAAAGACCCACACACACACACACACACAAAAAGAAACAGACACACATAGACAGACACAGACAGAAAGAGACACGCACACATATAGACAAACATACATGAAGTCAGACAACAAGCAGACAAGAAGTAGGCAGAAATACACACACACACACAAAACAGACAAGCAAACAGACAGACAGACAGACAAACATACAAATACACACAAAAGATAGACACGCGGGGAGGCAGGGAAGCAGGTAAATAAACAGACACATAAAATAAGCAGGCAAACAGACACACACACACACACAACTAGATAGACAACAGACATGCAAGTACACATGCGCACGCACAAAAAACAGGCAGGCAAGCAGACAAACAAATAGTGGCTGGCAGACAAGCATGCACACACATGCAAGAGCGTACATAAACATACACAACATGCAAACATACAAACATAAAAACAAACAACAGACACAACAAACAACCAGGTAAGCACACACACATAATAGACAGATGGATAAACAAATAGAAAGGTAGGCAGACACACACACACACACAACAACAAACAGACAAACATACATGCATGCTCGCAGAAGCGCGCGCACGCACGCACACGCACGCACACGCACACACACACACAACAAACAAACAAAACATACAGACAGACATGCATGCAGACAGGCAGATGCACACACATCAAACAGGAAGACATACAAACATGCATGCAGGTGCGCGCGTGAGCGCGCACACACACATATTCAAAATATTTAATCTTAGAGTATCACACAACCTATTAGTTTTACATGCATACATAGATCATAGTTAATCATAGAGTTTCATATAGCCTAATAGTTTGGCGCTGTCTCAAACCATAAGTTCTTGAGTTCTAAGCCTCGCACATATAGGTGTATGCGCCCAAAAAAAAAAGATTACCACGAGGAACTAAATTGGAGAAATGTGATGCTCTGGCACTTAGACACACAAATAATCGGGAGAGTATTTTGGAGTTTTACCCAATGTATAGGATTCAAACTTAAGTACTTAATAATTTAAATTGCTAAGAGCAACTCTAGAATTAGAAGAATCGGAATTAGAAGAATCAAAATTAGAAGAGTCACCAACTATAAATCTTGAATAAGACAATAAAATCTTTCAGCTAGCCAACTACAACTGAATACACTTGGTTTTGCTTTTAACACATGCTGCTAATTGTTACATCAACATGAAGTATGGATTTCATATCTTCAAAGATCTACAAGTGAAAGACAAGTGCGTAGAAAGTGGAAAGAAAAGAAATACGGAACATTGTTCCATGAAAACTACTAGGATAACAAGAATAAAATTCATAGAAACATCACCTGAAAAAGCTGAAGTAAACCTTCGCTTTCTCTGTGGCACAACTGAACATAACTCTAATCCTTGAGCACAGAAAATCAAGTTAGAGTAGTATTAGTGGCTAACTAAATGCAAAAAATAAATTAAATGCAGAGTAGCACAAAAAATAAAAAGTTTTAGATTAATAACATCATATTAAATAGCAAGCACTCGCAGATTTTCAGTCCAAGAATAGAGTAAACTTCGCCACCGAACACAAAAAAAAAAACAAAAATAAATTAAAAAGCAGGTTTCATCAATAATATGAAAAATGTTGAATAAAATTAGCAAGGCACTGTATTACTGTTTTAGAATTTGCAGAATCCAGGCAAGTTTTGTATCATAACCATATGCTTCAATTGTTAAATGTAAACCATATGAATTTGTAGAAAGGATGAATATTCAAAGCAAGCAAAAATAATGCATGCAATTGAGTTATTATCTAAACAGTATACAAAGCTCCGGCCAAAAAGATCTTCTAGAGTTGAAGACTTGCATATCATCAATATATGATCAAAAGAATAGTTTTTTATGCAGGTCATGCTGATAAATATTAGTTTTATTCCACAGAATAATAAATGAATAGAATATAATTTATTTTTAATCAGGAAACCAACTAATTTTTACCTTGGAAATCACAAATTTCTTCTTAATTTCCTTGGTTTTGGGTTACTCCTGAGTTCTAGAGTGAGCAAGGAATTAGACAGGAACAACCAAGAGCTTCTCACAGAAGTTCATAGAATATCTTACACTTCCAAAGGGATGGCATACTGAACTCACAATTTGCATTCTAATAACTGACATCTTTGACAGGTGTGAAGCCAGTTATTTTAGACTTACTTGAGAAACAATGAAAAATACAGAGAATGTTTTCATTGGCTGAAATACAAAGCATCAAAATGTTAAACAAGTGAATTAATTAGGTACATTAATAAAAAAATAAAATTATTGAAACCATGGAGCATTAAATACGCACCTCAAGTGGCATTCATTAATTAAGAATGGAACAATAAGGCTGCTAGATAGATATGCTTGATCGCCGGTCATAATAGAAATCGAAGCTCGGGCTAATGGACAATGTTTTTTGTTATCATGCTGAGTGATGATGCTGAGAAGCCTTGTTACACCAAGGGCGTATGGTTGCATTATGGCTGAGCATTTCCCTGAGATTACATATCTGATGAGCTTACTCTTGATAATAGATAATGGTGGCAATTCATTTTGCATAAAATCAAAAGAATGGATAAAAAAAATATAAAATCATCTTGCAAAATCAAAGCAATTTGATTACCCCATTACAAAGCCCTACAGCACTAACTAGTAAAGGATAAACCTTTTTAAACTGCAGCCAAGAGTAGAATTACTTTATTATGGATTAGCTTAGCTTATTGTTCCAATAATTAGAACCAAAAAAAAATTACATTTTCCTTTCACTGATGCATTTATTTTCACGACCAAAGGATGGGTAAGTTTTCTTCTCAATGCCTATCAACATGGGTAAGCTTTTAATAAGATCTCATCATCAACGTAGTTAGCCTTATTCCAACTATTTGAAATTTATTTGTTCCCTTTACCATGCATTCACGTTGAGTGCATTTTGAGATATTAAATCCATTTTAAGGAAATTATTTTTGTGCAGAGCTTATGCAATTGATTTTTAATTTAATATTTATGCCTATTAATCCTCCTACATTACTTTTGTCAATTTGTCTCATCCCGGCATCTTCTATCGCAGGTATATGCTCAAATCATTTAAATGCATTTTTCATTATATTAACTTCAGTAAGTTCCATGCAAATAACCAACCTTGTTTAAATGTTTCTCAATATAGCATTCCTAAGTTTGTCAAAAATCCATCTTAATATTCTTATTTCTATCATACCCAACTTGACTATCAGTGACTCATTGTCTCCCAGAACTAAAATCTACTAAAAACATTGTTGATCTAATTGTTTTTTTTTTTAAAATTTGTCTTTATATTTCAAACATATTTGTTTATAGCATAGTGCCACAACCATTTTTCTATTTGAAGCAACCAACCCTAGGTCTAGAATTTATATTCTAATATATATTTCCATTCTTTATAAAGGAATTCAAAGTAATTATACCGATTATAGCAAGAATCACCTTCTTTTTTCTTTTTTTACATACCAGGAATCACTTGAACTTCTAAGAACATCGGTATATGTTTAACAATGTCATCTCACAATGATTACATATCATGAACTAAGTCATTGTTTTATTGAACCAAGTTTTTAATATTTTAAGGATTTATACCATTATTCTAACTTTTAACTTATTTCGATAGATATCTCACCAAATTCAATTGTCATCTATAAATAGCATAATATGATGCATTGCTTGGAATACTCTGTCAACATTTCCAATACTGATGCCAAAAAGATAATAACTTAATGTTATTTTTTAATGTAATTATGCCATGATTTGGGTAAAGGGGCATAAAATAATTAGCATGTTATTACTTCGTTGGATCTATAACAAAACTACACATTTAAAATTAGGCTTGTCAAGATGCTATATCAATGTAGATATACCCAAATACATACCTAATTATGGGGTTTACATATATATCTATCTAGATCAATCAACCCTAAAATTGTTCGAATAAGGTTAATGATAATGAGACTATAGTTAACTATGATGTTGGACCAAACATAAATATATTATTAGATTCTTTAAGCATCCCTCAAACTCCGAATCAAAATTTCCCTTTATGTTGTAGTGTTACGAAAGTCCGTGTACTTCCCTAACACCACACTTCCTAATATAGTTACTCTTCAAAAATCTTACATTCCCTTATATTTCAAACTTTCACGCTCCCGTCATATCTTTCCCTTCATATGTTGATCTCAGCTCCTCACAAACAACTGCATTTCTCCATAGATTACAAGAATTGTTATGATACTTTGCCACTGACAGCAAGCATACAACAGAACACTTGCCCTCACCCATTCCGCTCTCTAATGTCTAAGAGGGGCACATGTAAATTTGGGTCAACCCGTAGTACAAAATAGCACTAGCCTCAAATACAAGCCAGTTTCAAACCAAATGAAAATTTTGATCCAACTAAAATAGAATTTAGATTTAAATTGAATTTGCGGGATTAATGAAACCAAGAAAGGATCTGCTTGTATAATTCTAACATTTAATGTTTGAAGGAAAAAAAAATTAAGGACTTGACTCTAGAGAGGCCAACTACAAAGCAGCTTGAGAGAACTAATTGCTATTTAGCAACAATAAATATTTGCATGGGATTGTAAATTGTACAGTAGAAAGCGATGGTTTGGCTACCGGTAAAGTAGAAGAGACTACAATGTTAATTTTCTACATCATCAGTCTTCAGTTGGATGGTCTCTGGCAGATATTTCATTTTATGTTTATGTAAGAAAGTCCTTAAAGGATGAAATAGAGTGATTCTTTTTAAGGTATCACAAAACAATATAAAGCAGATAGAATTGACAAACTTTCATTGAAACAATTTAATAAGTGCACAAAATAAATTTATACTAAAAAAATGAGGAAAGAACATTTAAGTACCAGATAAGTTTCATGTTTCCCAAGTTTATTGTGGGTGAAACAATTGCCACGACCTTGTTAAAGAACAATTTAACTCAGAAATCGAACAATCAATGAGTACAATGCTGCATTCAAAGCCTGGACCATAGAAAAAAAAAGGAACCAGATATATAAGTCTAAACCACTTTCCATCACCATCTTCTTCTGATATTCAAATATTCAATCTGCATTGGGACAGGTTAAATCAGAATCAAGGTACAAACATTAGTTTAATTATATATTTTGTTCCCAATATGGTTGTAACATTAGTGCCAACTCATAATAAAAATAAGCTTTGTTTACTTGCAGAATAATGTAAGAACCTTTAATTTCCCAGACCTTTAGCCCTTAGAATTTAGGTAAATTTACACAGCACAAAATTCATATGTATTAACATATCTCACACCTAAACTATAATATTTACATACATAGCACTTTTGTGTTTTAAACCTAAGCATGAAAATGTATATTTCACTTTTAAAAAGTGGTAATTGTTCTATTTTTATATGATATTAAATATTTGAGTGTTATGGTGTCAATATGAATTTGGGTGTGAGATATGTAAATACATAAGAATTGTGCACTATATATGTAAATGCCTCTATATTAACTTTACCAGAAAAGTGGCGGGCCTTTTGAATGACCATAAGTTTGAATCACTAAACTTCCTTTAGTTTCAATGAAATATCATTTTTAATGAAAATTATCTGAGTTCACCAATAATCTCCACACGAGCATGCCCCATCACTGAAGTGGTGAAACCTTTTTGAATCCCTCACCACAATCTCTCTGTTTGTAATATTTGATAAGAGCTTAATAGCATCATGACAATCCTCACAAACCCTCAAGTTCTTAATGACTAGAATCCTCATCCCAGAGCCAGTGTTCAGCAATCCAAATGCAATAGCCAACCTCTCACTATGGCTGAGGAGGATTCTCTCCTTAACATCCTCTTTGAGGTCATGGAGAACCAACTGTGTCTTTGGAACATAACCTTTTTTCCTCATTTCACATTCCAATCTCTCTAACATAGCCATGATATCCAGATATTCTGGATGGCTCTTATCCTCAGCTAAGAAAGCATGAAGCTTTCCATGCACTTCTACCAAACTATAGCCAGGGGTTTTCTTCACCCCTATCATCTTCATCAACCTTCTTATTTCCTGTACTTTGTTCCAGTTCCTTGCTGAAGCATACATGTTTGAAACCAAAGTGTACACACCCAAATCATCTGGACTCAACTTGAGCACATTTTCAGCAGCATATTCTCCTAGTTCCAGCTTCTTATGGTTAATGCAGCCCGAAAGAAGAGCAACCCATACTGCAACTCCTGGTTCAATAGCCATCTTCTGGATCAGATCAAAAGCTTCTTCAACATGCCCAGCACGAGCCAATAGATCCACCATGCATGCATAGTGCTTCTCCCTGGGTTTAACGCCAAAGTCATTCTCCATGGAATAGAACCACCGCCGCCCCTCATCCACAAGCCCAGAGTGGCTGAATGCGGACATTAGAGAAGCAAAGGTGGCATCATCAGGTTTCAATTCAAGCTTTTTCATTTTAAGAAAGAGTATAAGAGCTTCCTTTCCATTGCCATGAATACCATAACAGTCAATCATGGCATTCCAAGCAATCAGATCTCTTGAACTTAGCCTGTCAAATAGGGCTCGGGCGTTCAAAAGGCTCCCACATTTTGAGTACATGTCAATCGCTGCAGTGCCCAATATTATACCAACTTCGAGCCTTCTCCTAACCAAAAAGCCATGTAAAGACTTGCCCAATTTCAAAATTCCAATTTGGGAACAAGCCAAGAAGGCACTTACTAGGGCAACAGAATCTGGAACTAGCCCCCAATCTTGCATCTTGAGCAGCATGAAGAGTGCATCGTTTGCAAAACCATTCTGAGCATAGGCTGAGATCAAAGAACTCCATGAAACAATATTCTTATACGGCATCCTCTTGAAGACAAGATTTGCAAGGCTCAAACACCCGCTCTTCGCGTACATGTCAATGAGGGTGGTCCCTAAAACTACATCCATTTTCATACCAAGCCGGATCATATGCCCATGAACTGAAACTCCCCTCCTCATATCCCCCATTGCCGCACAAGCCTGCAACAGACCAATCATCACAATCTCATCCCCTTCAACGCCCTCTTCTCTCATCTTTCTATAAGAATCCATGGCCTCTATTGACTTCCCGGCACTAGAAAACCCAGTGATCATGGTGGTCCAGGATACAATATCTCTCTTCGGAATTCTGTCGAACAGTTCAACTGCATCAACCATCTTTCCGCATTTAACATACAAATTTAGCAACGACGAACTCACAAAAACATCGCTTTGGAAGCCAAGGTCGTGTGCGTGTGATCGAATCTGATTTCCTGCTTCGAGATCCGACAACTGGGTGCAGGCTTTGAGGGCGATGGTGAATGTGGAGCTGTCGGGCCGAACGACCCCATTGGAGATCATGCGGCGGTAGAGACGGAGGACATCGACGGGAGAGTCGTTTCTGGAATGAGCAATGATGAGGGCGTTCCAAGAAGAGATAGTCGGTTGGGGCAATGCGTCGAACACCTCTCGAGCAGCGGCGAGGTTACCGGAGCGGCCGTAAGCGGCGATAAGGTGTCCAGGGAAGTAGGGGTGGGCGAGTAATCCTGTGAGGATCATGAGGGCGTGGGTTTGGGGGATGACTCCAGTGTCCTTGATTACTGAGAGAAGAAAGCGCGGCCATTTCTGTTGGTCGAAAGCAAAGCGCATAAGTTGGGGTCTCTCTGCAAGTATGCCGTAGACAAATAAGATGTTTACATACCTGCAAGAGTAAACTTCTAAACTTCAATTTTTACCAACAATCATGGATGCTTAAATTTTCCGTTTAGATTGGATAATTATAGTATAAAAGTTGGAATTTAGGTATTTAGTATGTGAATACATAAGAATTGGGTGGTAGGTATGTAAATCTCTCAAGATAAAAAAAGAAAAAAAAAATACTAACGTAAACACACCCACACACGAAAAAATATTACATCAGGACTCCGCACTTAGAGTTACGTGCGGAGTCAAATGAAATCACGCCACGTAGAAAAAAAATTATGTTCGGTGACACAAGAGAATATTCTTCATGTGTTATTCAAGTGTTATTGTGTGTTATTCAGGTGTTATTGTGTGTTATTCAAGTATTATTATGTGTTATTATGTTATTATAACACCGAGAATATTCTCAGGACACAATAACACTTGAATAACATACAATAACACTTGAATAACACGGAATAACATGAGGGGAATATTTTCTGGTGTTACCGGGACGATCACCTCCATGGGGTAATTTCATTGGACTCCGCACGTAACTCTACGTGTGGAGTCTTGATGTAATATTTTTTCCACACACACACACAAAAAAAATTTAATGTCATTAAAATACAAATGTTTTGCATACCAAAATCTCACACAAATAGATTTAAAAAAAAACAAAATATTTTATGTGAAGAATGCATGAAGAAAATCACAATGCCTAACATAAATGAAATGATTACACTGTATTGATGTTATAGGGTGCCGGAAAATTCGCCATGGTTGAATGATAATTTAATGTATTAGAATTGCACAAATATCCAACCCACACATAGATCAGAGAAAAGTACCAAGAGAAGACATCAAGTTCTTTACATGACAAAACTCTACAAAAATAACAACAAGAATAAGTTTTTATCCCACTAAATGGAGTCGGTTACATGAATTTTTTTTCTCCATTGCGTCCTATTGAGTGTCATTTCTTATATAACATGTCCAATTCTTTTTAGGTCTATCTTGAGCTTTATTAACATAAACCAAATCTAAAAAATATACTTTCTTAACAGGATCAATCAGATGGTTGACATTTAATGTGACCAAATAATCTTGGATGACTATCTAATCTTGTCTTCCACTAAAGCTACACTAACCCTTTGTGTTTGTAAAACTAATCTACTATATATTTGTAAGTGCATAGGTCTACTCTTCTCATGAATTAGATAAGATAGAATTGCATTGTTGATATTACAAACATACAATAATAGTTCAACTATAATATCTGCAATTAAAGTATAGTAAATGTAGTTAATCATGAAGGTTATAGTCGGTGTATACAATAGCAATAGTTGACCACTGTGACTGCACAAAAGTTATGATTGGTAGCTACACAAATAGTGGTTAGCCGTAAAGATCGTGGTTGAAAACTGCAATATCGTTAGTTGGTCATAAATGTCATAGTTAGTGATTGCAATAGTGTTGGTGTGTCGCAGATGTCATAGTTAGAAGTCATAACAATAATATTTGGTCACATATGTCATAGTTGGTGATTGCAATATTGTCAGTTGAACACATAGGTCGTAGTTGGTGATTGTAATAACATTAGTTGGTCACATAAGTCGTAGTTGGTGACTGTAATATTGTCATTTTGCCACATAAACTGTAGTTGGTGACTACAAAAGGACAGTTGGCCACATAAGTTGTAGTAGCAATAGTTGATTACATAAGTCGTAGTTAATGACTGCAATATCGTTAGTTGGCCATATAGGTCCTAGTTGATCATTGCAATAGCTTTAGTAGCCCACATAGTCTGTATTTGGAAGTTATAACAACAACCACATAAGTCATAGTTAGTGACTACGATATCGTTAGTTGGCCTCATAGATTGTAGTTGATGACTACACTTATGTTAGATGACCACAGAGGCGTCATTGAAATTTATAATAGAAATTGACCATATAAACCATAATTAGTGACTGCAATAGCGTTAGTTAGCCGCATAAGTTATAGTTGGTGATTGTAAAGGCATTAATTGGTCATTGGGGAACCAATTGTTAGTTTAACCCTTTCTCTTAGGACTGTGTTACAATTTTACACTTGACACAACATTTTTCGGTATACATCGTAAAGAAAAAAACATGTGTTAGAAATAATCAAAATATTTGGGATACAATGCTAGCAATTGGAGATCACCAACATTGGCAAGCAATTGTGGCTAATGATGGTTGACAAAAACTGATGAGTGGTGGTTTATGATGGTCGATGACTGTGAAGAAGAGAAGTTATCATCGGGCCTTCAATATGGTGTTATATATTATATCCATATTTGGGATACAATGTTAACAAGGAAGGGAGACAGATGATGGCGAGCAGGCCGATAATCAGTGGTTAACAATGGTCGAGAGTTACGAAGACCAGAAGTTATCATCAGATATTCAATCACAACAGGCTAAGAATTCATGAAAATTTTGTCTTTTGATAAATAACTTCCCTAACCACCTTACTAAGAATTCCATCTTCTATCCTCCCCCATCTTATATGCTTTAGGGGAAGGGTATTTTTGTCTTTTGATAAATAACTTCCCTAACCACCTTAGTGGATGATCCATATCAATCCTCCTTAATCTTAGATAGTCATTTGATAATTTGAGGGCCTAAATGATATCAAAATTAAGTGAGCTTAGGCTCATTAGATTCATCTTATTGAGACGCTTAATTTGAATATAAGTATGTCAAATTTAGAGTTCATTTCATAATTTAATTGACGATACAAAATCTCTAAAAGTGCTTTAATGTCTTAAATTGGGTTTGATTGGATTCAGATCAAATCAACTTTGATATCATTGAGTTTGTTTTGTCGAGATGGTATGTTTGACTATCAATTTGCAAAAATTGGTGCCCTGACTAATCTTAAACTTAAATCTAATAATAATGCATTGAGATTCATAGAAGAAAATAATTTGTTGATAATGCATTAGTTGTCACCTATTTTTGGACATTGGAGTTTCTATCATCCAAAATTATAAAGCCTTATGAAAGTCTCAATCTTGATTTTAGATGCCCAAAAAACTTGTACACTAAATTGAAAGAAGAAATCTATGATATTCAAGCTTTGTGGAGGTTCAAAATTAACAAAATTGAATCCAAAATGTTGAAAAATAGCAAAGTAAACACATTTAAAAAGATATGAACATGTCATTGTTGATAGCATCGACAAATGTTGTATGTATTTGTTGACTTCACTTTTGGTTGAGGACTAGTTTCTTCATTAAAAGCCTATGATCTAGCTATAATACTTTTCTGTTGACTATCCTAAAGGACTAGTGATGACACTCTCACCTTTAGAAATTCTAAACTCTTCTTTGCTCATCTTGAAACTCTTCGTGTTGGTTCTAACCTTTAGCACTTAGTAAGTGGGACCAATATGAGGGAGTGTTGACCTCACTTTTGGTTGAGGTCTAGAAACTTCTTTAAGCTTTATGGTTAGCCCTGGGTGGTGTGGTCTTGGTCTTGCACACACACACTTTCACTTTTGGTCCAAATCCTTAGCCAAACTTGCCTAACTTGATGCTTTACTCTATTGGAAACTCATGTGGATGGTCTCCCGGACCATTAGCCTTGGGCTAGGGTTTGGCTAAGACCAGCACATGGAGGATCCATAATGGGAGTTCTCTTGGTCTCATGACTCAATAGGGTGACCTCATGATTAACGTTCTTAATTGATCCAAATTTTGACCCTTCGTAGCCTCAAACTTCACCAAATTACTAAATTAACCCTAACCAAATTTTCAATTTTGACCCTTCGTGGCCTCAAACTTCACCAAATTACTAAATTAACCCTAAACCCTAAATTTTTCAAAAATTCCCAAAATTGCCCAAATCCTCAAAATCTCTTCAAAAATCATTTCAAACCATTCCAAATCACTCAAATTGACCAAAATACATCAAATTTTCCAAAATTCCCAAAATACCCCCAAAATCCCCAAAACTACCAAAATGCCCTTCATACCCCAAAAATTCCAAAAATACCCAAAATCTCCAAAATCACTCCAAATGTCCCAAAAATCAATTTGAACCACTCAATTGAGCCCAATTTGAACAAATTGACTCAAATTGACTCTTTTTTCCCAAAATCTCCAAATTTCCCTTAAATGTCTAACTTACCTAATTTACCCTAAATTTCCACCAAATTAACTTTAATCTCACCCAATTTCAATTATAAATCAAAATCCATCATACCCAATCCCAATTGAAAACAAAACCATGCCCAATTTCATTCTCAATCCCAAAATCCCCAAATTTGTACTTAAGTTCAAATCTCCCAAATTGAACCTCATAACTCCAAAATTTCTACCCAATTGATATCCAAAACTCTTCATTACACCCTTGGACCAATTTGAACAATCAATTTAGCTTAACTTAAACCCTAGCCCAATCCAAAACCAAATCTATTCCAAATTCCCCAAAATTGACCATGAACCAAATTTCGCTAAACTGAACCCCCAAATCAATTCAAAATCACCCAATTCCTTTTCAAAACTTCTAATGACAATCATCCAAGCTAATTTGATCAATCAATTGAGACAAACTTAAAGTCTAGCCAAATCTAGATTCAAATCCAAGCTCATGACATGATTTTGAACCCAAGCCTTGAATTGAACCAAACCTATTTAAATTGGCCAAGCCATGGTCACCACAGCCAGCCTTTGGACCCTAGGGACCAAGCTAGACCCACCTAACCCACCCTACATGAGCCATGGACCAAAGGTCCCTTGTTCTATGGGATCTCTTCCCATATTTGGCTAAAACCAAATATATTTTCCATCAACCATCAAAACTTCAAAGATAATCATCATTAAGCTCCTTGTGGCTCACCTGACCACTCTAGCCACCAGCCCTGGCTTGGCCAACCGGACTAGTGGCTGGAAAACACCAAAATCGAGAGGCCCTGATGGCCAAAACTTAAAACTTGAACTCTCTGAGTTGGCTCATCCCAATTGGTTGCTTGCACTT